GCAGCTCCCACAGCACCTGCCTGGCTGTGGGGTGCGCAGCTCCCAGCTGGGAAAAGCTTCGCCAACCGCCAGGCTACTTAAATAACCCAGGGAGTCCTAAAAACAAACAAGCAAAAAACCCACCAACAAACAGCCTACAGCTGAACAGCTCTGGCTTACAGCAGTCCTTGAAATAACTGGCTCGGTAGACAGAAACAATCCCAGTATTTGGAAATGCAACACTTGTTCTGCACCTCCTCCGTTTCCTTTCTGCATGTTCACTGTGTTTTGAATTTCTTCTTGGACAAAAGCAAGCAGGATTATTTGAAAAATAACTGGTGTGTGAAGATAAGGCCTCAAGGTTACAGCACCCATTAGACACACTCATTAGACGCTCCCCACATACCGACTTGTGTAGAATGAATTTGGGAATTCAGAAGCTAACAAAAATAAATCTCCATCTAATTTTCAGAACATACGCTATCATTCAAAAGTGACAGACAGTAGTAATGTCTGATTCTTCTTTCAATTACAGAAAAATCACAATGGGTGCTATCATAAAGTAGCACTTGTACAACCGAATTTATAAAATTAAACAGACGTGCTATGTCTCACCTAACCACATCGCTTTCTGATGTTCTTTATTCTCACATGGCTTGTCCTCCCTTCACAGACCCAGGTTTTGAAGGCAATTTCATTTTTTATGAGTACTAAAGAACTGAATGCCATACTTACAAAATGAGACAGTAGGCTGGATTCAATTTAAGCATAAGAAAGGGAAAGAAGGTTGTGTTACTGATTTCTCATGCAGTGCCAGCAGTCAGAAAGCCCAATACTGGTCTGGGTCAAGTGCAGCAGGACTCAAGCAGCCATCCCCAAACCCTTCTTTTTTTTTTTTTTGTCTCCCACATTTCATTAGAGATGCTTTTGAAATCATTTTGAAAAGCTTTTTAGGTTCCCATTTTTGTCTTATTTTATCATCTCTCCAGGATATTGTCAGGTAGACTTAGAAGCCTGAAGTTATACTCCATAAAAACAAGTCTTTCCCAAGTTGAAAATGAACAGAAATATTTCACAGCATCCATCGGGTCAGAAAGCATCTCAGAAGGTCACTGAAAGCTGAGTCAGAGCAACTCAGACGAGAGCGCAGAGGGCTTTATCCAGACAGGTCCTGGAAACCTGTAAGGATGAGAGTTTAACGATCTCTCTGGGTATGTATATCTATTTAAACAAAAAAAAAGCCAAGCCTGCAGTCACACAAGTAACAACTACATAGTGACTAGAAAGAGCTGACCGCAAATAACTTGATTTCATTGATTAAAACGTAAGACAAAGCAGAACAGACAGAGGTAGGTGAGCAATGAGATACAGCTGTGCCTTCTCTAGGACAACATAAGAATGCTTTCAGCTCTTCACTTAAATCTACAACATCAATGTAAGAAAATGTATTATGTAAATAACTGACAGATAGTATACTCGTAGCTTATGCCAAGTTGTTCAACACTCAAAATGAGGATTTGCTCAGCTTATCCCTCAGCTCCCAGCCACCATGGCTGAAATGATATTATCTATTTACGCTCACTTGGCAGCTTTCCTGACTGCTTTGATTCGAATCTCTAGTAACACGCTGACAGGATAACAATGCACCTAATGTTAGGAGACTACTATTACTTAAAAGATACATTTAATCTGCTAAAGTGAGAAACCAGAGAACTCCCAACATTTACTGAATCATACTTACAGGTTCTGAGGGATTTCTGCGTTAAGGTGTTCAACCACTTGCTGTTCATCAAACACCCACACCCTTAAACACTGCTTTCTCAGACTTACCCCCTGTGTGCCCATCCCACACCATGCACTCACTGCCCAGCTCACGGCTGTGCCTGGTAGAGCCGGCCTCAGGAGCCAGCCGAGAGTCACTGAAGGCCTACTCAAAGGGTGCAGCACTTGAAGCGCTCCCTCAAAAACCACAGCATTCACAGAAGTTTAATCAGATGACAACCATTTTCTCTCATTGAGAACTTTTCAACTGGTATTTCATAAATTCTTCTAAAGACCAACAAAGGGCATCTCGGAAAAGGCAACACCATTAGCAGACTGAAGTTTGCCACACAAATGTTCCAACAGTAAATAGGAAGAGACTGAAAACAACCACTTCTGTCATCTTGGAACATGAAGTAAAAAAGAAAGCAATCACTGCAACTTTGCTGCAGCATTGCAGCTTGAAAACTTCCAAAAGCAGCCTTTTTCCATCCGTTTGTTGAAGTTTAAGAAGTCATTTGTGCAGAATACTACATGTCCAGCTAAGGCTACTGAGGTATCCTCCCAAAACAAGCATCAGAACTAAGTGCCACAGTTGTGAAATAATTACTGCTCTGTGAATTCGAGCAGCTACTCGCAGCTCTGCAGATTTATAAACAGGAAGTGAGAAGCGATGCATTCATACCTGCTTTCATCATGTGACAGAGCCCCAAAGCCACCAGATACCAGCTGACACGAGCTCCCCAGTTAATCCAGACAGCCCCAATAAGGATCCTAAAAATGCACCGCAGATTTAAGTAGCTCATTTCAAAGTCTGGAGTAATAAAGGAGTCCTCTTGGGGCTCAAGGGCTGAGCCCATGGATTTTGTCATCGGGGTGAGATCAACTGACACATGCGAGTCAGCTTCCCGTCATCCTTTTGTCAGACTTACTACATCTGTACGCTCGAGGACATGAATGAGCAGAGAATCAAAGCCTGATTTGGGTAGGAAGGGACTCCAGAGACCTCTCAGCAGCCACTTTCTCTGAAGGCAATACTCATTAGCCGCTCTGATGCTGCTGCAGCTCCTCTTCCACCCCAGCACATGTGGCAGAGCAATGTTAGCATGCTTTTAGCAGAATAAAAACCCAGCCTTCCTCCCCAGCATAAATTGCACAGATACGTGACCGTTCATTGACATTGCCTCAGTTTAAGTGGTTACCTGACTGAATATCTAGCATACATAAGCTGAAAACAGCCTGAGTTAGCATGACCCGCTATCTTGATAGGAGACCAAGTTTCTGCAATCGCTGCTTCATCTCATAATTTGCAAGTACCTTGATAGATTTATGCTTTGTGTGCCTGTCTTATACTCTAAATGTTATTTAAGCAGCATGCATTAAAGTCATTTGAACATACAGTCCTTAGGAATCAGGAATAAGCCAGCCATCAATTAATATCATGCAGACATCTCTTTCCTGGGAAATCCTCATTGAAGTGCTCTAAACACAACGCAGCACACAGCAGCCCCCAGCGAAGCAGGAGCCATGGCTGCCAGTGGAAGGGGGGAAGAGGAGAAGGCAGACTTCAGAGCACCATCTCTCAGTGTAAGATAAGGCCTGGCACTGGGCAACCTCAGAGCGAGGTACCAAATCCAGGAGGGGTACGGACTGAGCCAGGGAAGCCTGCCTGACTTGTAGCACTGCTCTAGGGAAAACGAAAAGCTGCCATCACCACAGCCAGATCCCTTGGGGTAAGAAAAAAGCAACAAACCCAAGAACCATGTTTGTATCACTACTCTTAACAAACGTAGTTTGATGAGAAAACCCATTTCATTATGTACAGTTTGCAACAACATACGTACTTCATTTCACCTATGATCACCTATCCAAGAATTTCAGTTCCTTACAAAGAAGTCAAGCTCCAAGTCTACCGGGTCAGGAAGAGCCCTGCTAAAAGATAAGTTCAAAACCTCTAACATCCCCACAGCAACGGGCAAAGCTGTGCCTCTGGCTACTGTAAATAAGATGACTACACCTCAGCAATCTTCCTAACAAGAAAAGATACGTCTAAAATAGAACCCCTTACTTTCCACTCCAAAGCTACACAATCAACAATTTTAAAGGGCAGAAGAGAGAAAGAAGTCTGTAACACAGAGTGAGCTGAGCTGGGGCCATGAGACAGCTCCACCAGGGCCACCCGCCAGCCACACCACCCACAGGGCACTCAGCTGCCCGCACCCACGAGCAAGATATAACAAAAGAACCACCACAGTGCTATCTCTCATGTTCCAGAGCCAACCGGGCCATTAACACTGCCCTCACATTTTCTTCTCTTTGAATAGAAGTTACATTTTAGCTACAGTTATTTATATTGTGAGCATTTAACTGCAGGAACTCTCCTCACCTTCACTCCTTTCGGTTCTTCCCCAAGAGAAATTACGATACATGAAATATAAATAGAATATAAAAACGTCTCAACATTTAATACCCTAGACACAACATTAGATAAGGTACATCAACTGATCACGAATGTACGTGGCTTTTATTTTCTTAGTGACAGTGTTTTGATAGCCTGTTTTATGCACATTCACTGGCTACCATTCAGCAAAGCATCCATCTGTACTGGAAAGCCTGAAACAACTTCTGCTTCCCTACAAAAATACAGCACTGAAAGATTCATATAGATAGAATAACACTAAAGAGAAAAATTACATTTGCTGTGCAAGTAGTAATTTTAAATAACTTCAGAATTAATCTTACTTTCATGTTAAGTGACTTTTCCCTACAAAATTTCCAGATTAGCCTCCAGACTTTGAAGCAGTATACAACTTTAAATCTAACTTCATGATTTCAAACAGCTTTTCTAATTTATGAGCTTTCAGCCTTGACCAAATGAACATATTCTCCTCCACAGAGTTTATTTCAAACGTTTCCTGTTATACTCAACATCACACCTCTACTAAACTACGTTTATGACTCCAGTGCCTCTAAAAATACATACAATATACAGAGCTATATATACAGAGATGCTTTAGAAGAGCTTCAGATACAATCACTTGAACTGAAATTCTTCAAGACTGCTCTGCCTGAATCTGTGATGAAAAGGACTTTGAATCACACATTTGTTTCCTCTGCTTGACAGTATTTAGAATACGCTGCTCCATTTCCTACTTGACACGGCATCCCTCACCTCCACCATTAAAAAAGATGAATACTAATAAACATCTAATAACCATTCCGTTTGGCGTTACTTTGCTTCCCCTTCAATTAACACTCACCGCTCCCTGCCAGCTCTCCCTATCAGTCATGTGCTTCTCAGGTGTGAGCAGACACAAACAGGGCAGCCGCGCACTGCTCTGAGCCTACGGAATTTATCAGCACTGCAAACACCGGGCAGGTGAGCCGCCAGACCCCGCAGGACATCACGCGCGTACACAGCCCAACGATTCCAAGACGTTCCACATTCCTCTCCTCACAAACCACCTCCCTTCGAAAATCCCGGTCCCTCTTTGTCCTCGGACAGCGGAGTGGAGCGGGGCTGCTTGTCAGGGAGCGCTCAGCGTGACCGTGTTTACGCGCTGCTCCCCCTCCGGGAGCGCCAGATCCCGGCACGGCAGCACGCGGAGCGGCACGGCACTGCTCGGCTCGGCCCCGCGGGGCGCAGCGCTGCTCCCGGCGGGCGGCTCCTGTCAGCGCGCCTCGCCCGGTGCCACCCTCAGGGCGGCCGCGGAGCGACGAGGCCCGGCCGGTGCCGGCGGAGCCTGGGTGTGGGCAGCGCCGCCAGGGCGGAGGGCGCGGGGACGGGCGCTCCTCAGGGCCCGGCGCTAAAGAGCGTGCGGGGGGAAAACGAGCACGGGGAGGGGAGCGCGCCCAAGGCGCACAACGACTCTCCCCCCCCGCGCCGCGCTCCGCTCCGTTGCCGCCGGCAGCCCCCGGGGGCGGAAAGAACCGGCCCCCCCCCCGCCGCAGGCCCGCCGCGCCCCCTTCCCGCCTCCCCCCCTCCGGCCCTCACCCCTTCGCAAGGCCTCGTCGTAGCTAAGGAAGCCGATGCGGGACTCCTTGGCGCCCATGGTGCCCCTCAGTCCATGGCCCGGCCGGCCGGCGGGGCGCCGCGGAGCCCGGGCTGCGCCGCTAGCGCCTCCGGAGCGCAGGGCGGGGGGGGGGCGGGGCGGGCCGCGGAGGCCGGGGGGAGGAGGCGGCCGCGCGTCCTCCCTGCCGCCTCCTCCATGGCGTGTCACGTGACGCGGCCGCCCGCCTCGGAGCGTCACGTGACGAAGGAGGGCCGTTGCTGTCCCCTCCCTGGGCGCCTCCTAACGGACGTCGCGCGCCGAAGCTGAGGAGGCGGCGAAAGGGAAGCGCCCCGCGTCACGTGACGCGTCACCTCCCACCTCTCTCGCTTGCTGCGCCCCGACGGCCGTCGCGCGTGGCTCCCGCCTCCCTTCAGCTGTGGCGGGGGCCGGGCTGACGGGGGCGGCTCTCCGCTCTGCGGGGCGACGGGCTGCGCGCGGCCTTTGACGCGCCTCACAGCCCTGCTCAGGGAATCCACCCGCGAGCAGAACTGCCACCGCGGGGGGCAGAGGAGCTTCCTGTACCATTAAAAACGTCCTTGCATCTGAAACAGAAACACGAACTGACTGCCGAAAGGGTGGAGATCAGCTCTGTCCTTCCTGCTCTTTGCCTTCAGCGCTCAGCCCTGCGCTCAGTCCCAGTGCAGGATTTCCCAGCTGGCTCTGTTACAGTGTTCAACCTGGTACCGTGCCCCGCTCACTCCTTAGCAGAACGTTCCGACATAGAAGGAGAACAGGGGCCACCAGGGGCAGGTTGTACGCAGGGCTGTTCCTGCACAGAAGCAAAGCTTTCCCCAATGCATGGTTTCCTCTCTGAAGGCTCTCACCCCCCCAGAGCTAACCGAAGGTCACGCCAAAGTCATTTTCTCAGTCCACGTGTAGGTATTTTTACAGCAAACATTCCAAACAAATACCATACCTGATAGGCAAAGCCAGGAACGCGGCTCACAGACGTGATGTCTGAAGGCCAGATTTCTCCCTGTGTAACACTACTGAAGCGCAAAGTCACTGCACATGAATTAAACTTTGTAAATCCTTTTTATGTTGTTGTTTTTTTCCTGTCATCATTTGAATTGCGTATCTTGGACTTGTGACAAAGAATATAATTACTGCACTGAAGCATAACATGTGCCCCCAATGGACCTTTTGCTTCCCTGGACACAGAATGCCATGAGAAGGTGTAAACTGGAGTGCTTTTTTGAAAGCATCAGTGAAATTGCAGGAATGAATACTTCACACATCAGCCCCTCATTACATACCTGTCCTTTAAACCTGGGTCTTCAGCACCCTCATTTCTTATATATATCTCTTCTCACTGCACCACACCATCCCTCACCCAAAGCATCTTTGATTTAGGTGCAATATAAACTCTTTAAAATATTCTGGAGGATGATACAACAATCATGGCAACGTGTCAACCAAAAGCAAAGCTGGCAATGCTAGAAACAGCTGGTGGAATATCTGCTTTATCTTGTGATTAAATAAAGAATTCCAGCTAGCGGCATTCATTCTGCTATGCTCCGTTTGTGATGGATCACTTCTCTGAGTATTTACTCATAGCTGGGAAGACATGGTTTAATTCCTGACTTTGCAATGTGATGCTGTGTGATCTTGTGCCTAGTAATAATCTCTTTGTATTTTGGTTTGTCCCCTGCATTACAGAGATAATGATACATTGAGAGTCTCCATTTTGCTTGGAGCAAAAAGCTGCACTGGGATGCAGCCAGACCCAAACTGGCAGAGCAGAGAGAGCAGGAAGCAACTACTGGTGCCTTAAGACAGCTGCCTCCAGGCTTCACACCAATTTCCTATAGTTTTCACACAGATTTCTCCATGACTGTCCTTGCCTAACCTCCTTTAATCTGCTTCTTTCAGTAAATTACGTTATTAAACAACAGCAGTGTTACAAAGTTTCTTGGTATTTATCAGCCGTGCTTTAAAGGAATGTCTACTTGTAGCACACACAAACCCTGCTAACAGGCTGCATAGGGTTTTTAATGACAACTGGTTTACTTGATATAGCTTAAAAAGTTGACCATCTAAAATGATAATTGCAAATCAGACCCTGCTACCACCCTAGCTTAAGGCATAGACAGAAACAGCTGTCAGTATTTGATTCCAACGAAGAAGCAGAAACACTCACTGAGGAGGTTCATTCCTCCAAAGGAATTAGGATAGATTGAAAAGATCATACTGATGGTGAACAAACTATTTGATAAAAAGTTATCTCCCAAATGGTTAAAAAAAAGTACATTTTATGTTAAAACTTGCTGGTTTTCACTGCTAAGTTGTTTAGACTAATACTGCATTTTTATATGGCATATAAAAAAAATAGGAAGTGACATCCCGTGTCCCACAGATATAAATGATGTCTAACAAGCAGTAGAATTTTCCTTGAAGAGTGCTTTAAAATAATTCATTGTATCCATTGTATGCACCATGGCTTGCACCAAATTTAATAACAAAGATATTCTAGATTGGAAAATCAGACTGGAGGCTTATGATGGCAGTGTCTTTGTTCAGATTAAATTAAGCATGTTCTCAAAGGCATTGAAGCAGGAACCTAGAGATAAGGCTTTGTATGCTAACTGTGGATTAGATCTGGCAGTAAGTTTTTAACAAAGCCTTATTGGGGAGCACAAGGTTACGGATATTGCTACTATTTAAATGGTATGCCAAAGGTAAATCAAGTTAAGATAGAGTGAATCTAAACTTCTATTAGATGAATTGACCTCCTCTCCTCTGTTTGAAGAGTGCAATGTAAGTAAAGCTAACTGTGACAGGTCATGTGTCAGTTGGTTGCTGTGATTTATGCAGCCATTCATGAATCACAGATTCAGATGCACCAAGCAAATATCTTTAAGCACCTTTGCATCACTGTCAACTGTCTGTGGCGAAGCAGACATCTATTCCTGTGCAGGGGAGGTGTGTGGCAACATGGCATTTGTGGCAGGGCTGCTGCTGGTCTCCTGGAGGGTGCCAGGCATTCCCAGGCTGCCAGGAAGGAGAGAAGAGTCATGGGGTTGAGATGCAGACTAAGGCTGAAGTGGACATCTGCGTTTGAGTTGCATTGATAAGATCTGAACTCAGAAGAGATGAGCCAAATATAATTGTGGAACTTCTGTGGTTAATAAAAACAATTCTGAGAACAACGGTGGTGTAGTCCCTAGGATTTCCTGATTCAAAGTTGACTTAAAAAAAAAAAAAAAAAGGAACTGAAAACACAAGTTTGATCCCTGCTCTGTTATTTGCCTCTACATCACTGCCTCTTTCCCCAGTATGTGTCTCCTTCCAGAGACATTTGACACTTAAGGACTGGTTGATCTTTGTATACTGCTTCAAAATAAATAAATAAGGGTGTTCTATGTAAATGCTGCACTTCGTTCTTGAGGATAATTGCAATCTTTAAGATGCTCCAAATAAATGAATAAAATACATTAAACTAATCTTCAGTATTTGTGCTTAATACCAGCTAGGTGGGAGCAGAGTTTTTCAGCACAGAGGTGGAAAAAACAAGACAACAGTGCAAATCACCAGTGAAGGTTTGAGACACTGCAGCAGGCACTGTATAGACATGAGACAACTTTGATCCCTTGTGCTTCACACAGTCCTGAGTGCAGCACAGCACATCTCAAATATTTGGAAAGAGCAGGAGGTAGGAAAGATATCAAGGTACAGTGAGAATTTTCATTTACCTAAGAGCTGAAGGGTTTCGTATCTTTTTAGTTATAATTAAGTGATGAATGAGACAAATTTCTCAAATCATTTTCTGCCAATCTGATGTTATCAGAGGAAGATAGGAAAATGTGAGAGACTTCTTTAAAGAACAACCAAGCTACACATGCAAAACGCAGCTTCTGTGCCATTTTTCAGGAAATAAGTGGTTCGAGACAGCAGTCAGAGGGTGACATTCATGACAGATCTGTATGAACTAGGATCAGAAACAAAGGGACAGACTCTTACCAGGGTCCTCCTGTCTCACAATCCAGGCAGGTTCCAGCACCAATGCCAACATGAACTCTGAGCAAGACATCGCTGGGGAAAATACTGTAGCTTTTATGGTATAAACTGAATTATAATAATTAAACAAACAAACAAACAACACTACTACATACACAAGAAAATAGATGTAGTACTTGCAGAATGCTGTTATAATAACCTCACTGCAGCTAGCAGCAGCAGCAGCGAAAATGGGGCCTTAATGTATTATCTTTTATCTCAGGAAGCACCACTGTGTTTTTAGTAAGTTTTGCATATATATATATATGTATGTATTTATTAACTGCAAATACTCAGATGGGGTTTACGCAAACCCAGTAACCCCCCATTTTGCTTCTAGGGTGTGTAAATGAATGCAGTGCT